ATATCTAATGAAATAAATATAAATTAGTAATATTATATAGTATATTAATATATTGATATTAATATATCAATTATATATTTATTATTATAATATTTAGAAATATTTACAAAATATATAATATAAAAAATATATATAAAATATTTATATAAATAAATATAAATGTGAAATAAATGGAAATACAAATATTGTTTGAAAAAAAAATTTTCTGAAAAAAATACTATTGAAAGTTTCTCTTGACGAAAATATCAAGTAAAGCAATCGTTGTCTTCAACTTTCAATTTTTGTCTCTTCGTTAGTGATTAACAATTTCGAATTGAAATTCTCTTAAGGTCCCCTTGATATTATAACTCAGAATATACTTCCTACGTTTTGCTACACCTACGTCTTGCAACTTTGTTGAAGTTTCGTTGAAAATATTTGGTCTTCAATTGCTTATAACTGCGAAACTATTGGTTTTTCGAGATTTTCGTCGCGAGAAAAAATCCGCATATCAATGAATCTGCCATTTTAAATTTACGCGAGATGGGCAAATAATATACTAAAAATTAATCAAATTATTAATAAAATTAATAAAATAATTAATAAAATGTATAGCTTCTAAATATTCGACGAGCCGTTCGAGACAATAATAATCCCCTCGAAAATATATCTTCTTTTTGAAAAAACAGGTAGAGGCAACGATTAATGATCGATTATCGTTTTAACGAAGCTCCTCTATATATAGAAAGAATTAAACGGCGGATAAACGCGGATTCCGATAAACTTGATAAAAAAATCATTCGGCGAAGCAGGATATATTTGATTTGAGAAGTCGAGCGCGCACTAGTCGAATATCCGGCAAATATTTAATCTACATCTCTCTAGTTCCCTCGGGCATTTTTCGATGCATGCTACAGGAAGAGAGTCTGTATACTTCACGATAGACTCTTCGATATTTTACTTTTTTATTTTCCTCCGTCTCTCCTCGTCCCGATACGGCGTAAATTCAAATCAGATTCGGCCTGTTGATGAAAACGGAGCATACACTTACGATATGCCGTGAAATATTTACATGATATGGAGAAAAACACGTAGCAAATGCTTATTTTTCGTCAGTCTTTTTCCCCTTAATATACATATATTATAAGTTTAATTTCGCTAAATTTTTCAATGTTAATTTTAACGTATGAACGTTTGTCAGCGCAAATTTTATGTTAATATGTGTGTGTGTGTGTCTTTACATATACAAGGTATAAAAAAGGAGTCGCATATTTTGAGAGCAAATAATATTAATGAAAACAAGAAAAATAGTCTAATTATGGATTCTACAATTAATATCTTCCTATTTGAGTTCTCAGTAAACAAAAGAGTATTTGCTAGTAACACATTGGATTATGATAACAATGGGTTTGTATCAATATGAGATTATATTGTAAAGAGAGCAATACAGTTTTGTAAGAGTATAATCAGTGTACATATGTAATAAAATTCTATTCACGATTTTTTATTATTCTTTTTTGTACTCTTTTATTAATTGCATATAGAAGCGATGTGTCTAATAAAAAAAACAAAAAAGTTTAAATAGAAAGATAGCCTATATGAAGATATTAATTAATAATTAATTATTTAATATATCTTCGAAGATATTAATTAATAATTTTTAATATTAATTAATTATCATTAATTATTTCATATCTTCAAAGATATTAATTAATTATATATTAATTATTTAATATATTTGAAAATATTAATTAATTGTAGAATGAGTTATAATTGGACTCTTTTTCCTTGTTTTGATCAATATTATTTATTCTCAAACTATGTGACCCTCTGTTTTAACTCTGTATAAATATTGTCGGATACATTACGAGGATGCAGAAAACGCGAGATAGGAGTAAATTAGAAACGTGGGCGCATTGTGTTCTTTGCAGCACGATTGAATTTACTAGTGTCTCATAAATATGGACCAGACAACAACGCGGAGAAAGTTCAAAGCTTATCGGAATCTACCGCTTAAAAGCGAACGTATATGGAAGTACAGAAGCGGCATTAGCGACTACTATATATACATACATACATACATATATATATATATATATATCACACATCGGCGATTGGATTTTATTTGTGTACGAAAGGTATATATTACTTAACATTAATCAGCTTATTGTCTTAGTTTTATTATACGCGGGCGTGTATATACATAAATTATCGAGCTAATCGGCGATTGAAAATAAATTTGCACGAGATACTTTTGATTACAAAATCTCCGATTCGTTTCATTTTTTCGACGGAAGATTAATGACAAGCCGCGCCGCGAGATCATTAATCCATTAATTTATACGTGCGTCACCGCGAGGTAAAAAACTTTCAAGGTAAGACAGTTTCTACGTCTAATGATTTACATGTACGAATTATTCATGACAACTTGCCAAGTTCGATTCTGCTTTACTTTACAAACTATCGATAATAATAATAAGACCGAGAGAAGTATGATATATATGATATATATATATATACCTTTCGTACACAACTTTTACCTTTAGATGACTGTTATATAATATTTTATTTTGGCTCTTATTGCCTGTTTGACACTTTAAATTTATATTTATATTTATATTACAGAGCCTTGTTAAACTCTTAATATTTTATTTTATTAATATTTTATATTAATTAATATACAGAATATTTCATTTAAATATTTATTAAAGCGTTAAATAGAATATTAAATCAAATACAAAAATTTAATACCAAAGCATTATTTTTATCTGCGCATCAACTTTTTCGCACACTTCTTTCGGCAAGGTGTAATTGTTAAATTAAAAAGTCTTGAAGAAAGTAACATGAAACGCATAATCTTTCCATTTTATTTTTTTTTTGAGAACCAGGAAACTTTCTGGAAAGATATTTAATCTAAAATTTATTTTTTATAATTTTATTTTTTTACAATTCCAAGGTAAGAATTTTTTAATTTAAAAATTGTACCTTGCCGAAATAATTGTGCGAAAAAGCTGGTGCGCGCGTGAACAATGTTTCGGTATTAAATTTTTGTCCTTGATTTAATATTCGCTTTAATTAATATTTAGGTGAAATATTTTGTGTATTATTTAATATAAAGTATAAATAAAAATGAAATAATACTGAGACAAATAAAAATAAAATGTAATATAAAAATAAATGAAATAAAATAATATAATAATTCGTATCTCATAAAATGTCTAAAACACAAGATATTAAATCCGAGGGATTTCAAAAATCCTGCTACCTTGACACAGTAACATAAATGTAAGAGACATGTAATGGTGTAGGCTCTTGGCTGGCCCACTTTCTGCTTAGTTATTGCCGTTGAATCTTGGCTCAAGAGCAACACTAACACTTTCATATACATTGTAAGTGCATGTACAACCATATTAACAGATACACGATATTCGTGAAATAGTAGCGAAGATATATGTCAAGCAAGCTGTTACATCGTAAGATATTTGATATTTTCATTGCGGGAGCAAAGAGGAGCATCGGTTCTTAGATGCTAAATTAAAGAGAAATGCAGCCGCGCGCGGTATCTTCCAGATCTTCTTTGGCCTTTGTTTCGTAAGAAGGGCGAAGGAGAGACAGCAGCAACTATATTGTGTATGAATAGCTGTATACTTGAAAAGTACCCCTTTGCTTTCTCCCGAATCTCGAGCTGGAATCTTACGCGCTACGCTAATTGCCGCTATTGTTTCCGCTAAAAGAGAAAGACTAGCAAAGGAACAAAGGTAAATGTGCTACTTTGTAAGGGCCACATCGCACTTCTCTAACTTATCTAACCCAGTACTTGATGCTCTTCCTCTGTCAAATTCGTGGTCGATCGATTCCAGCCACGTACATTCAAATCAACCATGTTTTTAGAGGAGACATTTTATTCCTCAAATATAAAATCTTTCACTGTATTATTCGAATATTTTTCCGTACATTTTATTTTGCAGTCGTATATGTGCCATATATATATATATATATATATATATATATATATATATATATATATGTATATATACATGTACGCTTATGAGTATCGATTTACAGCGTTTTTTTTTTGCATTTAAAATTGTATGAAGTAATAATCAAGATAAATATGTTTCGATCGTTTCTGCATGTCATTTTTATTTATTCATTTTTATTTTACTTATGAATATTAAGTTTCAAAGTTTATTTGATCTGTTTATTTTTTGATTTGCAATTTTAACTTTTGTAACTTGAACGTGTAAAGTTCAGCGTTTGCTATTATCTAAGTAAAATTATATATAATTTGTAACAGCTCTTTAAAAATTAATATACATATAAAAGGCAATAAGAGCTAATTAAGTTCTTTCATTAATATTTATTTGTGGAAAAAGATTTATAACATAAAATATTAGACAGAAATAAATTCGAACGTTTAAAATTATATAAATAATTATTTAGATGAAATTTTGACGTCATCTTATATTTATATACATAATAAAAATATATATTATCTATATCTGCATTTTAGAGATAATTTGTTTTAAAGGCATAGTTATATATATATATATAATAAGTACATAAAAATACTTAAATAGAACTATGACATTAAGCGATAAAAATTTACAAATAAAAGTATGAATATATTTTTATATATATCTTTTATATGTTATAATTATAGTTACATTTTTATAACTGTGTTTACATAAGCGATTTTAAAAATAATATTATCTGGAAGTTATCTAGCTGAATCGCTATATAATTTTATTTTTTATCTAGATATATTAAAATTTAAAATCATCTTCATCTTATCTAAGATAAATTTACATATTTTTATCTCATCTTTATCTAGCTAATTTTAAAATCATTTAAGCATAACACTGGTAAAGTTTTACCCTTAATAATACAAGTACACATAAATTAGATGTATAAACTGAAAACCATCTAAAGCCGCAAGGCATGGATCAAGAAAATAAATAAAAAAAAAAAAAATAAACAATGAAGATTCTCTTTTGACAAATTGATCTATTATGTTTCAGGCTCCGCTGTTTCGTAAGATTTATCGGATTTAGCAACAATGGGCTGGGCTCTCACCAGCCTCGGAGTGGCTTTGGTCATCGTCATCGCTGCCGGTGCTACACTTGTCCTTTGCAGAAGGTAATCATGATATCAGTGAAATAAAAATCACCTACGCGCCATCACGCGCGGCACAGAAAATTCAATTTCCAGAATAAAAATTTGTGCGCGACCAAAGGCTATTTTTAGTTGATTTTTTAAGGATTTCTTTGGGGATTGTTTAATTGTAAGTATAAGGGTTGCTTATTTGCATGCGTATGTACGATCGCGAGAAATGACAGAGAAGCGATTTTTTAAATTTTCGATCGTCTTTCCTTCCTTCTTTAATCGGCAAGAACATAATAATGCACCCTAGAAATTGCTAAACGCATTAATACGTGCAACAGGTGAAAGCCATCATTCACAACGAATAATTATTGTACCAGCAATTTGGTGCATTTCACAAGTTTGAGTCATTCTTTTCTGGTATAATAAATCAAAATCTGTCTCGCGCGCCCGAAAATATTGATATTATGGGGAGAATAATTAGGTAACTGTTAGTTCATAATTGTTTCGCGAATGGACGTAATTAAATTATTATTGCATTGTGAAATGAGACAATGTAACAGACGCGGTTGAGAATTGTGTTAAGCAATATTCCAAAAATAATTTGCTCAACTGACGTACAGAGTTTTGAATTTACGTTTAAAATATTATTGTTACAAGCTGAAAAATGATTTTGTGCAATAACAAATATATAAACAAGAAAATGCAGAGAAATTATTTATTAAAATAATTGATGTGTATATAATGCTCTTTAAAATTTAAAAATTATGTAGAACATTCGAAAAATATTTTAATTTAATTATCAAATCATCGTTAATGAGAGCAAAGAGCGAAATAATTTAATTACCGTACAATATGCGCAAAATGTGGCATGCAAACGAATGCATTCAAATGCATTCGCGTTGAAAATTGATACTTAAAGAATCAATTTATTTTATCTATGTGTACATTATAATAAATATTATAATTTTATTATCGTGCTATTTTAATCAATCTAATTAAATATTATAAATTTGATGTTTATATAAACAAGTTGAGCGATCAATCAACTTGGGTTATCGCTTTCCGCCCTTTTGCTCTAACACGCCACATCCGATATTTCCGAGTTACTATCTGGAACAAGCCTATTATCTCGTGGCACATAGGCATAATTAGCTTCTATACTCCTGTCAATCCCGCAGATATTGCATCGGATGGCAATTTGGCACGAGGAATGTCTGGAGCGTCTGCGAGGAATGGAGGCAGAGGCTTTCTTGGCTTTGGGCACCACGGGAGGAAAAGGTAAATTTGTATTCTCGGAAAACGCAAGTTAATTCTGGTTACATCCTGGTGGATTTCAGGAAGCTTCTATTACTCTTCATATCTAGCTTACACAATTATATATTATCAGAACGATATTGATTTACATAATCGCCTTTTTTCTCCATTTTAAGACTCCTCGCCGATCGTGTTGGAATTGTGACGTCACAGAAAACGCTAAAAATTCTGGTGCTATTTCGAAATAAAAAAGTATTTCGAAAATATCTCGAAAACTATCTTTTTTCTTTATAATCAATCTACAGCTGTAAAATTACTGTAATATGAAGGCCAGTCTGCTTTTTGCATATGCGCAGTTATTCCGCATGACAATGTATCATTTTATGGTTGTTGATTGATTGTCAAGGGAAAAGAATAGTTTTCGATGTATTTTAAAAGTGTGCTAAAGTCATATCTGAAATAATATTTTATCGAAATATTTTTTTATTTAAAAATGGCATTTAAGAATTTTCAGCGTATGCTTTCTCGCCTCTGACGTCACAATCTAACATGTTCGCAGCGAAGATCCCAGGAGTCTTAACATATGAAACTGATAAAATCGATGAAATTTATCTCTCAAGATTTTTAAATATTTTTTTGTATCTGACAGTATTTCTCGGACAATATTATATTATTTATTAATTAAATGATATTAATTTCAATAATTAAAAAAATATAATTATTGATTATTATGATTTATATTTAATAATTTTTTAGTTTTAAGCTTGTGCACAATAATTTTCTCAATATTTGAAACTGATTTTGATTAAATGCGAACTTGCTTCATTCAGAAACTTTAGAAAATTTTCTTCAGCAGTCTCCTTCTACTTTGTATCATATCACTTTGCATCGCCATTTCTCACGATGGCACTATTTGAAGGTGGGATTGGTGAAGGCTCAGCATCCGACCGCCCAGACAATACCAGGCCTATATCGCCAGACTGGGAATACCTCTCAACATCTCCTGCATAGCGATAGCGACCTCCGACTAGACGCGCAAGGCGCCTTTACTAGGTATGTGACCGATTCGATCATTAAATCTCCGTGCATTTTTATGATATTCGTATAATACAGGGTGTTTCGGGAGAAATGGTCAGCATTCTCCTGACCATACGATTGTCACACATTTATCATTTACGTAAACATGTGTCCTATTCTGGACGGTTATATAAAGATACAGCGTGTTTAGTCATTAGTCTTTGCAACGAATATTTTTATTAATCTACTATAACTATATTCTTGGAAAAATTTACATTAAATTTTAAGCTTACACTAAACTTAAATAAAATTATAGCAGAAATAAAAAATTGTAAACTAACATAGGATTTATAAAACGTGATCGTGTTTATATTCGTAACAGGAAACGGCAAAAATTTAATACAATTGTTTTATAGTATTTAATTATATTAAGTTTATTAATGTATTTGTTCTTAAGATTGAACATGTTGTATCTGTATATAACTGTCCAAAATAGGACACGTGTTTATATAAATTTTTTTGCTTAAAATAATGTGTACAATCATGTCCTAAAATACTAACAATTCCTCCTGAAACATCCTATATATGATTGAAAACATGAGCGCGAGAGGAAGAAGAAAGAAAAAGTTTAGCATGACTTATGAGAGAGATCTTAAGTAAGGAGACCTTTAAACAAGTTCCCGGAAGAAAAAGTTTTTCCTTTCGATTAAAATTAGTTTGAAATATATTTTTCTGCAGTTGACGCTGATATGACGATAAAGAGGATTTATTTATGTTAGAAAGTATTATACGAGAAACTCCATGACAAAGTGTTTTGTGCAAGAGCGTCACAAAGCACAATTAAATTAATTGCATCCGTATCTTCAAAGAAATTAATTAAATCCAGCTGTAATATTCTATATATTACTCATGTTATTGCAAACTGAAAGCTGCACAAATAAATTATTTTACGCGAAAAAAATTAATCAAATACTTTATATCTTCTTTTATCCGATCAAATTAATTAAATCCTCGATCACATTATATATGCTTCTCAAATTAAGCTAAATGAAAAAAATTATATTCTATCCTAAAAAATCTCTCTTTGCAGTCACATATATGTATATATATTTAAATTTTTTTGATACATATATAATTATCAGATTATAAAGAGCGTTATATATAAAAATATATAAATTTTTTTGAATAATTATTTTAATTTTTAATTTCTCTGTATTTTTCTTATTTATATTTATTGTTATATAGAATATTTTATATATATAATGCAAAAAGAGAGATTTATTGGAAATATATATATATATGTATATATATATATATATATGTATATACATAAAATATTTTAGAGTTCTCAACTTTTTAAATTCAATATGATTTATTTCAATTTCATACTCTATAAAAAAAATTATATATACAGGATGTATCTAAATAAGTGCGAAAAATTTTAAGAGATGATGCTTTGTTGAAAATTAAGGGGGGTTTCTTATAAAACATATACTCTTATATTTCTTCCTAAAGAATTAAAAGTTAAAAATTAAATTAAAAATTAAAAAGGGAGATAAAAATTAAGTTATTTTTTTCTCACATTTCAGACAAGTTAAAAAAATGAAATTTAGTGAATATTTTTCACTAATAAAAAGAATATTTATTAATATTTAATAAAAAATAAACATTTAATTTTACCTCCCTCTTTAGAAAAATGTAACTTTCCTCAAGGAGAGATATAAGAGTATATGTTTATATAAGAAACCCCCCTTTATTTTCGATAAAGAATCATCTCGTAAAATTTTTCGCATTTATTTAGATACACCCTGTATACAAATCTAAAGAGAGATTGATCAGAAATATACATAAATTTTGATAAAATATAAAACTAAATGAAATTGAGTGTAAATGGCCGAGAACTCTGAAATATTTTACGTATTCACTCACATGCCTCACCTATATGCGCGTAGAATATATTAAACCTTTCATACTGTTGTACAGATTTGAGGCTGTCGACAGGGATTTACATCCACCCCTTGGCGGCAGCACGATACCACCGCAACCGCTACGACCGGCTCCTCAGCCACGACCGACCGCTCGTCCGAGGCCGTCGCCACTTCAGACGCCGAGTACCGTCGACTACCTGAAGATGCACGAGGCCGGTCCGGGTCCTCTGACGCCGCCTCCGTCGTTGCAGAGAGGATCGATACGATCGAGACCTCCCGGTCCGTCCGTGTTTCACTTTCAGAGCGAGCCGCCGAAGAATCACGGTCCTTTTCCACCCTCGATCGAACATTCCGCCTTCCTGTTCGACGATCCGAAAACGATAGTGGAAAATATTCAGATGACACCTTATCCCGATCAGAATCATGTAGATTCTAGATCCATCAGGTACGATCCCTAAAATATATCCGAAAAAACGTTCAGAGGATATCCAGAAGATATCCAGAGAACATTCGAATATTCTCTGCATGTCCTCTGAACGTCTTTCGAATATGTGTGCTGTTAGGGATATATAAAGAAAAATGATGACATTTTTTTTATTTAATTTTATTTATTTAATCTCTGATCACGACTTCTGTTGACTTTAACAGACAATTTGAGCCTCCTTCCAAAGACCCGACGCGATTTAGGTACGGGATGAGTCATCCCCTGGATGGTCATCTGGACAGCGAGGATGTCAATCGAAATTACGGCGGCTACGAAATCGTCCAGAGGAATCACATGGCGCGATCGTACGCGAGGAACGACTCCAGAGGGTTGCCGAACAGCTTCGGCGCGACAAATTCGTCGAACGCGACCAGTCAGATGATCATGGAATCGATATACGGTCCGCAAACCGTCTCCAAGATGCTTCAGAATAGTGACGGGCTGAACGACGATCACAATCGAAAGAACGGCGACGTGCAGAACATCGAGATGACCCCGTTCAAGAGTACCATTTCCAGCCATCAGGAGGATGTCGATTCCTACATCTTTCATGGCTCTCTGTCCAAATCGCAGGACCTCCAACGCGTCTCCCAGTACATTCAGAGTCTGCCCGATTTTCCCGTTTACGAGCCCGTGAACGAGCTCCAAGCGTACCCGAGTCGGGAATCGATACTGTTCTCGAACGCGATTCAGGGATCGATCGGAGACGAGGCGAAGATCACGAGCGAATCGGCCTCGAGCCCGATACCGCCGCCACCGGCACCGCCAGATCCACCGGAGGAGATCCCTAAGAAGAGTAGCCCGACCACCGGCGAGAAAATCTTCAGCGCGCTCAGGTCCGTCACCACCCAGAGCTACATAGATGCCTCGGAGTTTTATAAGTGAGTTATTGAATATTAAAAATTAATTAGAGCTATCAAAAATTTATATTATTAAAAATTGTATAGTATATATATATTTAATTAACTTATATTATACATATATAATATTATAATTATTATTATATTATAATATAATAATTACAATATTATATAATATAACAATTTAAAATACATTTATAAAATATATAAATTAATTTATATATATATATATGTAATTAATTTATGACGTAATAAATCTACAATTTTGACGCTATTAGCTAATTTTTATTTTAAAAATTAAATTAAAATTATTAAAAAAAAAAATAAATTATATATATTTATAACATTTTTATATTGAATTATAACACTTTTTTACAGTTCGGTGCTTTCCTCTGCGCAACAAATACAACGGCTCACGTTTCCGTCGTTCGTAAACGAAAACACCGAAGATAATTTGCAGGATGCTGAATATTTGCAAGATATGCGGGATATTTATGCGGAAACCGATCCGGATGTGACCGGTCTAGATGGTTCGAAACGGAGTTCCGATCTTTATAGTCCAGAACTGAATCTGGAAGCTCACAGAACGGCGCAAGAAGTACCAATTTGTTCCTTTTGTTTTACATATAATATCAACAATAATTTATATCCTTCTTCATTCTTATTTTCAATCTGTGATATTTTTCTTGCCTGCAGGTATACAATAGTCTACAAGATCCACCGTCGTCTCCTTTGTTGGTTAAAGACAACAATCACGAGCCTTACACTTATTTATCAGATCCAAGTTTTACTCGAACGTCGGAGGTATATGTTCTTTTTTATTTCTTTGTAATATAATTGAAGAAAAGATATATACAGATAATAAGAAATATATTTAATATATGATCTTCAGACATCTGAATTATTATATTTATCTTTAATTTATCAATCATATTCTAGGATATTTTCAACAGCCTCGAACAACGACGTAAAAGTATGGAAAGACTGAACGGCATTCACGAATACGTAGAATTTGATGCCGATCCATCGAGGTAAAACTTGGATATTGTAGGAAAAAATTACGCAATGCTCGTCTAGATTATCTCCTCTTCATTATCGTATCTTTAAGGCTGTAAAAGCGAAATACATCGCCCATAAAATTTGTTATTTTTAGGAGAAGAAACAGCCAAGAACTCTACGCCGCCCTAGAGGAGGTCCAACTGAAGAGACGACTTTCGCAAAGTTTGGAGGAATCGTATATGGGTTATGGGCTCAACGATTTTACTACCAGATTGGGAAATCGTCGAGGTTCGCTCGGTATCGAGCCGGAACCACCGCCTGACGAGTCAACCTTGAAGAGAGCAATCAGCTGCGAGAGCGTATGTTCCGACACCAGCATTAATCTGAACGATCTCGAAGCGCCCATTGTAGGTCATATCTGCGTCGGGCTCGAGCACGAAAGATGGGGCGGTCGCGGAAGCGATTGCGAAGGCGATTTGGTCGTGAGCGTCCTGGAGGCCAGGGATCTCGTTGCCACCGACGATTCTCCGGCGAAAGATACTTTTGTTAGGTGGATATATCTCTTTCTCTTTGCTCTTCAATATAATACTATTATTTTCAATAAACCTAAAATGCCGTGTTAAGTCTCCTCACTGAATATATTGGAATTGTGACGTCAGAGACAATACATTAAACATTCTTCGAAATAAAAAGATATTTCGATGAAACAGCACTTCAGATGGCTTTAGTATACTCTTAAAATATGAAAATTATCTTTTATTTTTTATAATCAATCAATAGCTGTAAAATGATTTTAATATGAGGCCCAGTTCGTCTGGTCTTTGCACATGCTTTCCACATGACAAAGTCTGATATCACAATCATTTTATGGTTGTTGATTGAATGTCAAAAGAATTGTTTTCGAGATATTTTAAAAGTGTGCAAAAAACATCTGAAATAGTGAAGTAATAAAAAAAAGTTTGGCATCTAAGAATTTTCAGCATGTATTTACTCGCCTCTGATCGTCACAATATAATATAGTCGGTAAATAATATTATATTGTGAAATTAAGTAATTCTTTTAAAAGAAATATTGTCATTTTTTCTTATAGCGATTTATTTTATCTTTCTCTCTCAGAAAAAACTAATTAATTTTTTAGCACAAGTATTCAACATATTTTTTTTTGTAGGGTGTGTCTTTTACCCGACAGGCAGACCCACGTGCAAACAAGGATTTATAGGGGATGTCCATCGCCCAGTTATCAGGAGAAATTCCTATTTCCCCTTGATGGCGGTCCGGCAGGCAAAACACTTCTCGTTGAGGTGCTTGATTCGCTATTGATTTTCGTTACATTATTTTTATTTGACGCAAGTTAAATATTCTGATTAGCGAAAAGAGATAAATTTGTTTTTCTATTTTGGTTATTCTCCAAATGTTGATTTAAAATTAATAGTTTGAATTGAGTTTACAGCGATGCGTGAATTAAAATAGACTTTTCCTTCTATTATTCAGGTGTTTTCTGATGACTCCAGCATTGGCGGCGGCGCATCGTTAATCGGTGAAGCCAGTTTAAAGCTCGGATCTGTGGCGAGGCCACCAGCTACGACGTGGTTACCGCTCAGTGGGCCTGCCTTACCTACTCCACACTTAGGGGAGCTGATGTTTTCTCTCAGTTACTTGCCAACGGCGGAGAGACTCACTCTCGTAGTAGTTAAAGCCCGCAACTTGCGCGGTGCAAATTCAACTCCGGGTGATTTTTTCGTTAAGGTATAATTAAACTCACAATGCTCTTATATATATATATATATATATATATATATATATATATATATATGTTTCAATAAATAATTCGAGAAAAATGTATTAATATATATTTTCCTTCACTAAGGTATATCTACTTCAACAAGGGAAAAAAATACATAAAAAGAAGACGTCCGTTAAGAAAGGAGAGAAGAGTCCGATTTTCAACGAAGCGATAATATTTAACGTGCCAGCGCACGCTTTACAGGTTTTGAAATAATCTCCCACTTCGAAATGATATAAATATAAATATTACAATGAAAACATAATTTAACAATATGATACATATATTTATAAATGCGAATCGCTATCGTTAAAGCGAGCTCTAATCAATTTTTCGAATCAAATCTCGCTTAAAAGCGACATGTATTTCTTTATAAAATCTTTTCACATGAATATTATATTTTTCGATGAATCGATGCGTATTTCTCCAGTTATGTAGAAATATTCCATTAAATATATATCTTGTTTCAGACTATACAGCTGAGATTGACAGTGGCGGAATTGAACGGCGATCAAGGTACGAATCCAAAGGCGTACTCTGTCGGCCACATCATCATAGGATCTACCTCGACGGGAAAAGCGCTGGCGCATTGGAGACAAATGTTAGCGGCCTTGCGGCGTCCGGTCGCCATGTGGCATCCTCTCAGGAAGTAGAAGCGGAATCGTCGCATTTCGCGGGACGAGAGCGAAAGAGAAGCAGAGTCTTAAAAGTATCACTTTTCATGTACCATCTCGTATAAAATTTTGTGTCACGCCCGCGTTCTTTGATGTATTTATGCGTGTCCGGAAGAGATATACGCGCGTACTCTTATATAATCTAAACGTAAAACACTAAGATACAATCAATCTCTCTCACGCAGTGTTGCGTGTCATAAGCATCCTATCTATCTAGTACGTTAACGATCGATCGGACCACTGTATGTGGCGATATCGTTTGACAAAGAAATTTACAATCACTGCGGAATTTCTACTGCACACCGCGTTTTGAGCCGATATTAAGTATCTTAATTGTCCAATTTGTCCAGAAAATGAATTCGTCGTCAAGGCGCAAATTTTGCGCTTACGTCGTTATCCGAGAAATCGTGCAAATCTCAAACAATTAAGGCCCCTGGATCTTAGCCGCGACAATGTTAGATTGTGACGTCAGAGGCGAGAAAGCACACGCTGAAAATTCATAGACGCTGTTTTTAAACGAAAATATATTTTAATAAAACACTACTTTAAATGGCTTTAGCACACTTTTAAAATACCTAATAGGAATTTAAAAAATGAAAAGTATTCTTTTCTTGATAGTCAGTCAACAACTGCAAAATGATCGTGATCATATCAGACTTTGTCATGCGGAATGACTGCGCATGTGCAAAGACCAGACGGACTGGGCCTCATATTACAGCAATTTTACAGTTATTGGTGGATTATAAAGGGAAAAGGATAGTTTTTGAGGTATTTTAAGAATTTATTAAAGTTATGAAGTGCTGCTTCATCGAAATATTTTATTTCAAAATGGTACGAATTTTTAGTGTGTGTTTTCTCTGACATCACAATTCCAACATGGTCGGCAAAGAGTCAGGGGAGCCTTAAATAGCAAAATTAAGTATTTCTTTTAAAAGGATAGATAAAAGGAATGGATGGCGAAATTTGATGCGGTTGACTGAATGTGACGCAAAATTTCTAGCAATGTGTTCTGTTACATATCTCTCTCTTGAAGCAATTAACTCTTTGAAGCAATTACTTTTTGAATTGTATGGATCTCTCTTTTAGAGAATATTTTAATTGCAAGTTCCTCTCTCTTAGAAATCAAATTACAAACGTTTGACGTCATGCGACTTGAAACTTAATTACATAATTAATTAGTAAATCATTCATCTTTTCCTTCTTCACTTTCGTAATTCATTTATCACTATCATAAAAATGTTGGCTTTTTATTTTCCTGGGATAGACGAATTTTTAGTTTCTCGACATTATCTATAATAACACTTTGCTTGCGTCATAATTGAATAATTATCATTCATAAAAGAATAAATACATATTGCGCAGTTATAGCCGTAAATAAAAGCGGTAAGATTGTATTTTTTCACATATGTGCGCTAATTCTAATCGCACGATCGATTACGATCCATTCCACGACAAGATAATGCACAATGCACGGCAAGATAACGCATAATGAAAAATCAAAGCCCAATTGCAATATTCGATGGTGTCGGAACTATGTTGAGTTGTTGAAAGACTTACAGCTCTTGCAATAGATATGACGATTCTGCATTCATGAAAAATAAGACATAGTTCCCTATATAAATGTTACGTATTGATTTTTGGGCTATTATGTTATATGTCTCGCCTTTTAGAGAGAATAATTAAAGGTCACAATTTTTTACTATTATTAGAATTTAACTAGAGTAAACATAAGAAAAGAATATCGTAAAATTAGTATGTAAAAGAAGTAACTGTAGATCTCTTTTTCCTGTAATTATCTCACGAAAAGTCCCATCGTTGTGTATGATGGTGACCCATATAGTGACGTGTGTGCCTGCTCATTCGCAATTTGTAGTTTAAAAATTTGTTAAACATTTCCCAAGTTTATTATAACAAATAGCAGAATTTTCATTTTTTGCATTTTTCTCGTCAAGATAAAAAAATGAATGTTATTTTGTTTTATAAAACCAGACTATAATTAAAAAAGAAATTGAATTATTAATTTTCAGGGTTGATCTAACTTGAAAATCTTGTGTGGAAGTTATTTCTTTCTGTTTTAATTCTTCTAACGGAATTAAAATAGTTAAATTTTTAAAAATAGAAATTACTATACTATTCACAAATTAGAAAGAAGTAAAAAGGAGGAGATTTATTAAATATTTTTTAAAAATAATTCTATAATTTTAAAGATTAAAAATTCAATTTCATAGATTTCTGTAAGTTTCTTTTAATAGTTTGTTGTTTATAAATTATCAGCGTACGAGTTCTTCAGTTCCGACACCCTCGATTGATCTCCTGATATTCACTACTAAAAAGACTACAAAACAAAAGAAAACAAAAACGATCGTTGTACGACTCGCACGAATTAGACAGCCTTTTGGACCTCAACGCCTATTCTATAACTTTTGTACCTCTTCATATATATACATATATGATGGAACTCACAAGCTTAGTCTCTGTACACGCGCGCATACGTGTACGTATATATTATAAAATATATATATATATATATATATAAAAAAAAAGAAGATACATTATTATGAGCAAAATTTTACAATCTATACTATACACTCTTCTCGTCTCATAAAAAATTCACTATTCCACTTTGCACTTATTAACGTATGCAGATTTTTCTATCGCCAATTACTAATGGGACTAATATCGCTCACTTTTCATTAATCTTCATAAATCTAATTGTAAGGCACATCCCCTTTGCGAAAACGATACTCTTATCTCTCTTCTGATATATTATATACGCGATGATCCGTGAGAATAAATTTAGATAGACGAAATCGATGTGAATTTTATGAGAAGCATAGTGACGGATGTTAGGTAATTATTCAAACATTCGATTTTAAATTTCAATTATTTTATAAGCTTCTTATATGCGACACTTTATAGCTATATGTATATGTTGATATATTTTATTCTCTATAGTTTCAATTTATTAATTTAATTTTTGCTAATATTTGCAAAAATTAAAATATTTTCTTTGTTGATAATTTAAGTTTAAAACTGCATTTTGTTTTCTTTTAGATAGCTTGATCGAAGCAATTAATTTTATTCAAATTTACGTTAAACAATATGCGCAATTATAATTTGCATGTTCTCTAATTAAAGAGCTGTGAGTGCGTGCGTATGTGTGTGTACTTAATAATGAAGCATTGTACATAAGCGAGCATACGCATAATTTGTATGCATGTGCATATACATATATGCGCATACATATATATACATATAAGTCAAGATAAGCAGATTAGCGTTTAACACTGTTGTATATCAGCACAAAACTGAACTTTTATTCTTAATACCTATGAGCGATTCATGTCTATGCGCATATTAAAAAAGCGTCTTCTATTACATGTCTACGTGTTTGTGTATCTACACGTGGACGTCGTATACGTGGTGTCACGCAGAAAACGGTTGCGAAGGGTGCTTCTGTCTTCTCTACCAAGGTCCTCGAAGAAAGCGCGTTGGATGTTTTCGTAATTTGATTTCCTCGCAACGCGATAAAATTATGTATACGAAGTAATACAAGAGAATGCTCTTTCGAATTATTGCTACCGATATTGCGCGCCGTGTTCTCGGGATTCCCGTGTATACGTTGAATCTGATATGATATAAAATATATGCGCAGGACAAGTTCAGGGGGAAAGAAATGAAGAGAGTTGTTTAATAGTTTGCATCTCGTTTTTCAGAATTTAATTTTCTCAGAGGCTAGTTATAGTATGGTAAAAGATAGAAAAACGATAAAAGTAGAATGAAGGTCGATGGAAGGGTGATTGCAACATAGAAAAGGAGAATAAGAGGGTAAGAGAACGTGAAAGGGAAAATTCAAAGAATGTTATACAAAGGAAAAGAGATTTCCAGAGAAAATGAAAGAAAGAAAGAGAGAAAGAACCGAATGATAATGACAATAATAGTGTAGAGTGATTCGTACCACAAACAGCATGTATCAGTAACTTATCTTTTAATAGAATCGATTAAAAAAATTATATTTTAAATTTTCGAGAAGCGAACGTTGGAAACCATATCCCAGGTAGCAAACTGACGTTATTAGACGTCAAAATTGTCATTTTGGTGTCTAATGACGTCATTCGACGCCAAAATGACATATGCTTGCTCCCTGAGATGTTATTACTAGCAATATGTTGATAAATAAATGATATAGCAATACTATATGTGCATATTTCAAATGTATATTATTAATGAGTTTATAATACAATGTTAGTAATTTGTGGTACGAATCACAAAAAACACAGCGGTTGCATGAGTGTACGCAAGCGAGCGAGAGAGAGCGAGAGAGAGAGAGTTCACATACAAAATACTATATAAAATTTAAATTATTTTATATTTTTGTTACGCCTCTCTGTGATATAATAAGGGCACATTCACACCCCATCCTGTATATGTATATGTGCGTTATAGTCTTCGTATCTCGTTGATTAAAGTGAGACCTTTTAAAGAATGAACCTTGCCAAGCCTTCCCTATTGCATTTTAAAATGCACTCGAACGTACCTCGAACATTCATTAGGTCGTTAAGAATTGGTGGAAAAATCAATTATCGCACGCGTAAATTAATCCTAACATTTGTGCGAGGTGGATCTTTATAAGAAAAAAATTGAAATGCGCGTGCGTGAATTTTTTTTAATTTTCTTTTCGAAGAGTATTTAATACAACGTACAAATAATTATATGATAAGTGATTGTTATCTCTTGTTCCAAGTATGTATAAATTAATCGTAATTGGATATAAAAGTAGTCTGACTTTTTGATGTTTAAATTAATGTAATTTTTGTAAAGTAGTTTTGAACAGGTACGTTCGAGCTTGTGTTCGTCAAAGGTATAATATATATATATATATATATAAATATATGTATTGTTATACGACATCTTGTACTATACTATATTAATTGTACGAACAAATTTAACTGCATTGACCTGTGGGGGATATCGTAATTTATCGATAATGAACGATTTTGTACGGCAGACATTTGTATGCTGTACGACACATAACACATGTTTAATACAGGGTGTATCTAAAATAGTGGATCAAAATTTGTCGATATATTCTGAATCATCTTTAGAAAGAATTTGTCGATTATTAAAGTATTGAAATGGTATATTAATATTACTTAATTATATGAAGAAGTTAAAATATTGAAGACTGAAATTAATTAATTGTAATTTGTTTTCTTCAGATTAAATCAATAAATATGATAAATAACAAAAACTTTTGTGTGATGAAATCTTAATTCAAGTCTTAATTAAATTATTTAATAGTGAAAATTAAAAGTAAAAAAAATGTAAAATTTTTTAGGGATATTTAAATTGATTTTAAATTTATCAAAGAATATAAAGCAAACGTATTGAACCGCTATTTTAGAAAATAATCTCTATCCTGTAAATACATACATAACATAGATGCGGAAAGTCATGTACTATTAATTATACACGATCATTGTTAATCATGGTTGCGGTTCTATTTACACAGTTCGTTTAATGAATAAATCTAAAAAAATATATTTCAATTAAAATGCACCATGCTTTGCGCTTCATTGCCTTATCTTAGGCTTATTTTGTTAAAACAATGCTAAAATACATATTTATTTTTATTTATTATCATCATCTGTGTATATATATGTCATCTTAATTTCTTTCCTCAACAAATTTTATGGTATCTCAAGCGTTGATTGTGTCAAGAGAGATTATGTTAATATATAGATATAAAATTTATTTTATTGCCTCTTCCATTAACACACACATACACATACAACCTCATATAATTTAAAATAAGATATACTTTCACATTTTTTTCAAAATTCTTGTGGCTGTGAAATAAAAAATATTCGGTATCCTTTTATATATACATATAATATTTATGTAACATATATGCAAAGAAATAATTATTATTTTGAAAGATTTAAATTATTTAACAAATATCACGTACTGTTAGATATCAGGAACAAGACAATTGTATACTTATAATTAGGAAAATAATTATTTTCGTGTATTTTACAAAATAACTGTGTTTAATTGATTTAGTCATATGTCGAGCATACAAAGGCTCAAGAATATATAAAACCTTGAAGCATTGATATTTTACACAATGGCCAACAATTACAATAAAAAGATTCAATCGTACACTTTTACAGAATGTTTCATTTTAATCGATCATCCCTATAAACTTTTATTTTTGATTGTATAATAAAAAGTTATTTGATTTAAAGGCAAAGATAGCATTATTGATTTTTTCTAAAGGACGCTTTTCAAGATAATTTAGAGATCATTTACGTTTTTATAAATAAAACCATATTTTTTAAAATAAATTGATACCTCGCAATTTTCGGCAAAAAAAGTTATAAAGGTAAAATTGCTAAAAAACGAATAATTTATATAAAAAAATAGTTTATCAGTAGGCATCATTTTCTGTCCTTCTTCAAGTCAAACAACATTTGTTTGAAATATTTTGTTATACAATCAAAAATAAAAAAATTATTGAAAGTGATCGATTAAAATGAGATACCTTGTGTAATAAAAAATATAAAAATTACTCACTAGGTACCTCTTCTAAAAATCGATTCGGATAGAATCTCAAAGCTTCTATCGAGTCGTCTCTGCACGCTTTACCGTGCTTTTCTGTGACTAGCAATCGTTCGCGCGCCAACAATACTGATATACCCTCCGATTGTGCGAGATCTTCGGCGGTCATAGATTCCTTTTCCTTCAACTAAAAGTTTTATGCGGAAGATATAATAAATGAAGGAATAAATTAATTTTATTTTATTAGCTTTTGCATAATCGAATATTTACCAATTCCGTTATACGATCCACGACAGCATTATCGTCGTGAGAACGAATTTGAAGAACCATAACGCCGCTATCAAAGCTTCTCAATACAATCGGTAAGCCTAAGGGTGCCAATTGTCTACTGGCGTGTAATAAATCCTCGGGAGATAAAAGTTCCAAACCTCTTGCTCTATTTACACGGCAATAAACGTCTGTGAGTGTCATCATGCCACCTACTTCCTGAAATCAGTTATAACATTTTCTATCGCATCTTATATATGTATACAAATATATTTTCCAAATATGTAAATTGCAAACCTTTATCGGTTCTTCCAAGATGTACGCAAGTTGCTTAGCTAATTGCTGAAAGTACTCATTGCTGCTCTTGTACGCGTCTCTTGTCACTGGATCGTCGATACCTAAGCTCATTAGATAAGCCTTAAATCTGACAGTTTCGTCTTCCGTTATATCGCCTTGCCTCTCCTGTAATGATCCTGCATTATGAACCTCAACTTGTCCAATTTTACGAAGCAATCATTGAAAATCACCCGTATTTTAGCAGAAATCGTCTTTGAGATGGCCACCATATCTTTAGCCATATCCATAAGCTTTGTGAGATCTTGAAACGCCAACGATATACTCTGGTCAGTCTCTTTCTGTTTCTCTTGCAAACTTCTTTCAATACCAATGATACCCGTCCGCGTTTTTATCTGCGGTAACAGTTTCGAATTTCCTCGAGTGTCATCGCTAAGCGCGATTAGTCTTGCGGCAGAAGCCAATTCCCATGCTCGTTTCATAATAGTATCGGATAATTGTGTTATAAAATTTGAGTCTAGACCTTCCTTAAACGACAGCTTGATATAATTGTACAGACTATTATTCGCTGGACCGGGCATTTTATCTGTAAACAAATACAAAGTTTGTGTTAGTCTAATAATTGCATCTCATAATTTATCAATTATTCAACTCAATTACATAATTTATCAATTATTCGTGTAACTTCAAGTCTCACCAACAACAGGCTCGGAGAGATGCAATACAATCTTTTTACTACGTCCAAAGGAAAACGGTCCGGGATTGTCTTCCTCAAAGAAGACTATGTACCGAAGCGACAGCGATAAGCAGACATTACCCCGTGGAATATCGCCAGGTCTGCCCCAGAGTATTCTGTGACTAGTCAGCATTAGTTCACCGCCTTCAAAGTTTGTCTACCAAGAATTGTTCTGATATTAATATCCTTGTATTTATATATTTGACTTTAAAAAAAATATTCAGGGATTGTGACGTCATTTCAAGTAATGTATCTGCAAAAGTTGTTCTGATATTAAAATCCTTGCATCTATATATTAGACTTTAAAAAAATATTCAGAGACTGACGTCATTTCAATGTGTCTACAAAAATTGTTTTGCTATATTAATATCCTTGTGTCTATATATTTGACTTAAAAAAATATTCAGGGATTGACATCATTTTTGAAGTATTGTGTCTGCAAAAAAAGTTGTTTTGATACGAATACCTTGTGTCTATATATTTGACCTGAAAAAAAATCAGGGATCGAAGTAATACATCCTGGATATGAATTTACCTTCGTATCCCCGTCGTAGAGACGTATAGCCATATCGCGTCTCACATAAATCTCACTCGGCATAAGCCGAGAATCGGCGTACTCGAACCTATTCATCTCTTTCGAAACCTTATCACGAACTGTCAAAACGACGGACCATCCTCGTCAGCTCTCCTTCCTCGCGCGATCAGCTGAAACCCTTGATCAATTCAAATACCTTTAGATATGGAATATAAAATCACAAAGTGCACAAATGCTGAATCTGACATCTGACGACTGTAAACAATACATATATGACAGATGGTGACGTGACCGATGATCGGTCCGCGGATCGCGTCATTTGTTGCTTCTAAGCGAGCGCTCCGATTGGCCGGCTCCAGAGGCACGCGCCAATCACGCGCGCTGACGTCATCGGCAGAAGACATACGTCAACGACGTTCGCCGAGCGCTCCGAAAGAGAGAAAGAGAGAGAAAGAGAGTGAGAAAAAAAATAACAACTCCGCGCGTTGTCGCGTCTTGTCGTTTCGCGTGACACAAGGCGGTGCGTGTGTTCGTGGCCCCTCATCGAGGTGGTTCGACGCGGATTTATAACAAACCCTCCAATGTGGCGTGTGGCTTAGGTTATGGACTGAGGTTACTGCGGGGTGTGGCATCCTTATTATTATTTTCGGCGGCTCCGCGAAACTACGCGGCGAGGATCGACGATTAAGTCTCGCTGAGGGGGAAAAAAAAAAGCAGGAAAAATCCGTGTGTTTTATAGCTCGCAGGTTTTCCCCCTCCTCTCTTTTCGATTTTTTCTTTCTTTTTTTTTTTTTTTTTTTTAGCGCGAACTCTTCTTCAAAGGGTTGTTCGCGCGCGAGAGGAAAAGAGAGAAAGAGAAATCTCGTTCCGGCTCCTTGAGACGCGAAAACCGCGAAAGGAGAATATGTTCGTGACACTTTCGAATCGATTCGCGCGACCGTATTATACCGTCACGTTCGACGAAGTAAGTAAGTAAGTGGTAAAAGTTGCGTTTAGCGTCCGGCGAGCCCAGGCGTCAGACCTGGTCCATGAAATCACGTGCAACAAACACGACGTGGGATGTTGAGCGCAACCACCCCCACTCAGCCCCACGAATACACCGAGATGTCTCGGTTAGCCGACTACTTCGTAGTGGTCGGCTACGACCACGAGAAAGAAAGTAAGTCGTCGTAATTGCAGCTGACGTTCCACCTCAGCCGTTCTTTTCTCTTCTTTCTCTCTGACTCTTCTTTTATTTTTTATTATTTTTTATTATTTTTATTATATCAAGATAAAAATGACACATTATGTGTCCAAGTTTAATAGACAAAAAGCTCAGCGCAGTGAAAAATACATATAATGTGATAATTCTCTCTCTCTCCTAGTTTATTGATATATAATACAATTATTTTATCAAAAAACTACACTTATGAAAATTAATTACTATGTTATAAGATTGAAAACGATGTATCGTTACGATTATAGGGGGTGGTGTAAGTAGCGGAGTTATATTGCAACGATTCCCAGAGAAAGATTGGCCGGATACACCTTTCATCGAAGGGATAGAATGGGTATAAAACTGTTTCTTTTTAGAAACTAATTCTATTGTATCAATACTCTACTTACAAACGCTATGTTATGTCTTATATAGTTTTGTCAACCGCAAGGATGGGCTTTATCAATGGAGAGACAAGAGCCACGTTTCTTTGTGTCGATACTGACAGACATTGATGCAAATCGACACTATTGCGCCTGCATGTGCTTCAATGAAACGGTCTCGATTGTGCCAAGTAAACCCGTAGATGAGGAAGAGGATCCCGTAGATGGAGATAGTCGACCCCTGGTCAGGGCAATACCCGCCATTGCACATCATAGTATTATGTATGCACCCAAATGTCTGGTGCTGGTTTCCAGACTCGATTACATAGAAACATTTAGAGTATGTGAACATTTGTACAAACCATCTTAACCATTCTACTGTTTTAAGATTTGAATCTATTTGTAATGATCTATAATTCTTATAGAACTGTCTCGGTATCATTTACACGGTGTATGTGGAAAATCTTGGCATACCATTGGAAACTTTAGTTGGAAACATATTAGGATGTATTCAAGTACCTCCTGCTGGTGGGCCACAGGTACGATTCAGCATTGGAGCGGGTGATCGCCAGGCGCTCCAACCACCAATTAGTCCTTCTCTTCCTATAACTCATACTAGTGTAAATTTACTATTTCAGCAATTAGGTAAGAATATATTAAACTTGCAACGATTGTGATATATCTGTTGATACAAGGTATTACATTACTAATGCGCACAATGTAATTTCTAGGTATTCGTAATGTGCTAGTATTATTTTGCGCAGTCATGACAGAACACAAGCTACTTTTTCATTCTGCTAGTTATTCTCGACTGACCGAAGGGTGTCGCGCCCTGACAGCGTTGATGTATCCGTTCAGATATTCGCACGTTTACATTCCTCTTTTGCCTGCGGCTTTAGTCGAAATACTCAGCACTCCGACGCCATTCATTATGGGTGTACATAGCTCGTTGAAACACGAAGTTGTGGAACTTGTAAGACAAATATCATATACGATCTCGAAAAAGTCTGAATGATCTCATTCACATTCGCTGAATTCTTTGCAGATGGATGTAATAGTGGCCGATCTGGATGGAGGCTCCATAACAGTTCCCGATGGTGTTTCGCTCGCTCTGCTACCAGAACCATTGCTCTCTCAGACGCAGGACGCGTTATCTTTGGTGTTGCAGCCGGAATTGACATGCGCCGATTACGCTTTTCCTCCGCTTGCTACCAGAGCGCCGCACTCGCCCATGCTTGACAAAGAGCTCAGAGCGGTGTTTATGAGAACCTTTGCTCAATTGTTGCAAGGATACCGGAGTTGTCTAACGTTGATACGAATACATCCGAAACCGGTGATTACTTTCCACAAAGCGGCATTTTTGGGAGAGAGAGGTCTTACAGACTGCGATTTTACGACGAGAGTCCTGGACTGCATGTTTTTTACGTCTTTTATCGCGGAAAGAGGTCCGCCATGGAGACCCTGCGACGTGTGGGATGAGCTCTACAGCAATCTGAGCGATCAGTTGAAACAGGAGACGCAGGATCATCGAGTAATTCTGACGCATATCCAGGAACTGGCGCAACAGTTGTACTTGAACGAGAATCCGAACCCTCAACCGTACGTGCAGAAGATCCTGAAACCACCCGAAGGTGCTTTCGCAAGGATTCATCAGCCTCTCTTGCCGCGTATTAACCTGGAGCAGGTTCAAGCGATCATCGACGAGGGCCTCGCGAAGAACAATCTCAAAGTCAGGCTGTCTTCCCTTAGACCAATTCAACCTCGTATCGTGCCCATGGGTCCGCACATCTCGTTCGTTCACGACACTAGACATCTGGTCAGCAACTCTGCTCGCAGACTGGAAGTGTTGCGCAATTGTATCAACTGTATATTTGAGAACAAGATCTCGGACGCTCGCAAAACTTTTCCGGCTGTTTTGCGAGCTTTGAAGAGCAAAGCTGCCCGGTTGGCGCTCTGCATGGAGCTGTCGCAGCACGTGGTCGGGAACAAGGCCATGCTGGAACATCAGCAATTTGATCTGGTGGTACGTCTGATGAATTGCGCGCTGCAAGACGATTCGTCGATGGACGAGCACGGCGTCGCTGCGGCGTTGCTGCCGCTCGCCACCGCGTTTTGCAGAAAACTATGCACCGGTGTGATTCAATTCGCGTACACCTGCATCCAGGAGCATCCAGTGTGGCAGAATCAACAATTCTGGGAGGACGCGTTTTATTTGGACGTGCAGAAGGATATCAAGCGTTTGTATCTACCGGGTGACAATTCACCACCTAGACTCATAAACGACACCATTTTGAGTCCTATCAGTCCGCGGGACGGCAAGGAGTTTCCATATCGGGACCGATATTCCATTTATCAGGCGCAGGAGCCATCGGCGCTGGAGATTGCTGCGGATCAAATGCGAATCTGGTCGTCCATTGACCCGGAAAAGCAAAAGGAACTCGTGAACAGCGAAGAGAGCACCATGTACAGCCAGGCGATTCATTACGCCAACAGGATGGTCTATCTACTGGTCCCGTTAGACATCGGCTCGAAGACTCATCGACAGGATCACATCTACGACGAGGAACGCGCGAGTAATAGCATCACGAATAGCGTGGCGAGCGACAGCGGCGACGCCGAGTCTGGATTTGAGGAGACCGATCCGAACGAGACCGGCAGCGCTGTCATCAGGATGGTCTCGCGATTCGTCGATCGCGTCTGCACCGAGGGCGGCGTCAGCGCCGAACACGTCCGATGCCTGCATCAAATGGTTCCGGGGGTCGTTCATATGCACATCGAGACGCTGGAGGCGGTTCATAGGGAGAGCAAGAGGCTACCGCCGATACAGAAACCGAAAATCCTCACGCCCAACATGCTGCCCGGCGAGGAGGTGATCATGGACGGTTTGCGGGTCTATCTGCTGCCGGACGGCAGGGAAGAGAGCTCCGCGGGGTTGCCCAAGATACCGCCTCTCTTACCGGCCGAGGGTGCCATCTTCCTCACGAATTACAGAATAGTGTTTAAGGGTATACCCTGCGATCCGTTCGCCTGCGAGCAACTGGTCGTACGAGCCTTTCCCGTCACCTCTCTCACCAAGGAGAAGCGAGTCGCTGTGCAGCATCTCGCGCATCTGGATCAGTGCCTTCAGGAAGGTCTGCAATTACGCTCCTGCACGTTCCAGTTGATCAAACTGGCCTTCGACGAGGAGGTCACGCCCGAGAATATCGACACCCTGAGGAAACTCGTGCACAAAGCACGATATCCGCCGCACATCTTCCATCATTTCGCGTTCAACGGCCAGATCCTAGTCACGCAGACGGCGCATCATAAGAATAAGGAGAAGAACGCCACGTTGAAGGGTTTCGCGAAGAAGACCCTGCTGAAGACCGCGCGCAAGGCCGGTTTCAAACCGAAACAGTCGTCCAAGCGACAGAAGTACGTGCTGCCGAATATGAATCTCATCAACAGCAACAACAAATACATGACATCGCCCGGACGGATGAGCCTACCGATGACCGACAACAACGACCTAAGCCACGACGACGATCTCAGCGTCGACGACTTCGAGATCCCCGGCATGGTGACGCAGCCGCCGACCGATGCCAAGACCCTCGAACGTTTGTCCGAGCGTAGCTACGTCAGGGATTGGTATCGACTGGGTCTCTACTCGAACGGGCCGCACAACAATCGTCGCAACGAACCTTTCCGCTTGACTTCGGTCAACTGCGCTTACATGATCTGCCGGAGTTATCCCGCGCTTCTGATCGTGCCCACTTCCGTGTCAGACGAGAGCATCCGACGTTTCTGCAGGCTTCATCGCCACAGTAGGATGCCAG